ATGTCTTTTGAGTCATTTATTCAAAGGAGTTCTTCTAATGTGTTGATGGTTTACGACAAGAACTGAACTAGAGTTGTTACACAACTACTATATTCTTTTTGATATTAATAGTACAAATTTTACACGCAGTACCATTGTCATATCTATGATAAGAATAGTTTTCTAACGGGTCTAGCTTGTTTTCTGACACACTTGAATACGTGCTCTGGTTGATCATACGAATTTCGTTTAGATAGTGTCTTTTGACTTCGAAAAACGCGGCTTAACAAGCCACGATCGACTTTCTTCTCTACTCGGGTTACGACGACTTAAGAAGAAAATATATAAATATTATTGTTTTGATGTAATAATCCAATTTCTAAGTGTCGAAATATCTATTCTGGAAAAAATACATTGTTCACAGTATTGAAGGATAATAATTTATGTGATGAAAAACAGAATAAATTCCATTCTCTTGTTATTACAATGTTTCAATCTTTCTTGTCAACCATTTGTCACAATTAGACATGTTTACGCGAGACAAAATGTTATGATGCCTTTTCAGCAGATTATTGTCATCAACGAATGACAACACATTGTCTTAAGCAATATTACTGGGTATATATGGTATTAATATAAAAGCGTACTGGCGATGTATAAAGAAGATACCGATAAAAACATTTTTTTCTTACTTTTGATCCACTCTGTACATCAACAGCATGACGGAAGAGAAGAAATACAATGATAAGGCAATCGGACGACAATATTTACTCGTTCTTCATAAGCATGTCCCATAGCCATCAATATGAATCTATTACTGTGACAGAGAACAATTCTACGATGTTTTTTGTTTCTCATGAGTATTATTGAATGTTTCTCGTATATTTTCACTATTATTTATGTTTTCCTTCTGTCTATTTGTTCCAGAAATTAATAAATGCAGCTGTGTTAACGAAAACTGGAGGAAATATTGGTAGAATACTGAGGAATTAATTTATTCTGGGATATTCGGTTATATTCCTATGAATAATTTGGTAAGACTTGATCTTTGATAAAAGACCATACAAAAACGAGCTGTACAGTGAGATATTTTTGAAAGGCATGACCTTTTGTTCTGGGAGAAGGACTTTACTTTCACTCTCCTTCAGTAAAGTTATTTCAGTGAATGACTCCAGTATTCATTAATCTCTAAAAAAAGAATCAAACACAGTTTTTCAAGGTTTGATCTAAATGAAAGATGTATCAGCCAAAATGTTTCTAATTTTAATATTTCCTAATTTTTGAAGTTTGAGAATGACCAGAATCTTCTTCTTATCAAACTATTATTAATATTTAATCGATTTATGTAGTGATGGAATTGTTTTCAATAACTACCAACACAACAATAACAGACATACAGTTATTAGTATATCCAATTGCCATTTTTCTTTTACTATTATGCCTATTAGCTATAATAGGAAATCTATTAATTATATATACTATAATTCGTGACAATACATTACATACATCTAAATATTATTATATTTCATCATTGGCATTTGCTGATTTCTTAGTTGGATTCATAGTTATGCCATTTGCGTTTCTATTTGAAATGACCAATGATGAATATTGGTTGTTTGTGCGGCATCTGAGAGTTTTTTGCGATTTTTGGCATTCGATGGATATATTTGCATCAACAGCATCAGTACTTGCACTGTTAGCGATCGGAATAGATCGATACACGGCTATTACAAAACCAATTGAATATTCTAATTCATTTATATCAAAAAAATGGTATTATATATCGTCATTTATATGGATATTTTCAGCAATCTTATCGTTTCCAGTAGTTTTTTATCTTCGAACAGAACAAACATTGTCTCGTACGTACTAAAGGATTTTAATATTCTATTTAGTATTGAGATCTTTGAGCATTTATTCCATTATTCATTTCCACATGCAGATATATTATAAATTTGAACTTTGATTTAATACATGAATTCGAGAATACAATTTTTTTGTAATTGATAACTAATGAGAATTATTAATAACCGTGAATAAAACAGAGACAAATCTTTGGCACGTAGATGATGAGATCGGTGTCAGCAACCAGCCGATACTATCTATGTAGTGCAATAGCAGATTAGGCATTTGAAGGAGTTATCATCAGAGTTAACAAGAATTGATTCTAATTTTCTTCATATTCACTCATCAATTGGTTTGATATAGAATGATCGACGCCTATGTCCTGTCTGTCTGAAACACAGTTTAAAAACTACTAGAATTTATACAGACCGTTACAGACATTTAGACATGCTGCTTCTTTGTACTTGTCGCAGATCGAGATCAGTGTAGCGAGAGTCTTCATGTACAATTAAAGCGGCTCTATCGTGTTTCATATTTTAATCTCGTAGAAATTTCATTGAAAACGTTTTTGGATATTTGTACTTCGGAGCTTGGAGTTTTCTATTGTTAGATTTTCAATGTTTTTTTTTAATTTCGAATTCATGTAGAACTTTGAAGTCCAAAAAATGCGACTTTTCTTCTTGTAGACATATTTGGATTCTTGTGAAAGATTTACTTTTGATAGTTCCACCTACATATTCATTCAGATTACATATCAACGTTTTTCAGTCTAGGAAGGAGTGAATCGACATTTGATGAATGCTACTTATTTTGTTATATAATGTTGAATTTAACTTTAGAACGATCATCGATGTCAAATGAAACAATATCGGCACAATTGTTACCATCTAATGAATGCAACTTTCCGAATAACCCCCATTATGTATTATTTACATGTATTATATCATTTTATCTCCCATTAATTGCTATGATTTATGTTTATATTCGAATGTATTCGATAGCTCAAAAACAAGCACAAGCGCTGCGCTCTGGTTACAAGCATCATTATCAAATAAAATCCCCAAAGCCATTCATCTCAGAATTTCGTTCTGAGAAAAGATCAAGAATAGAGACAACAGTAGAAACCAATGATAATGCCGCACATAAAACATTACCTATGTTATCAAAAAATCGTAAACCGTCATATGAATTAATAACACTTCGTATTCATCGTGGTACATGTCAAAACTCAAATATAGAACCGTTCAACCAGAATAACGGAAATGAATCGAAATCAATTAATAAGAATTCAAAAGAATGTGCACGAAAAAACAAAATTCGGAAAAAAAATTCGAACGATCAAAAGGCAGCTAAATTCGTTGGTATCGTTATGGGTACATTTATTGTTTGTTGGTTACCATTTTTTGTTTATCTTGCATTAAGTGGTGTATTTGATATACGTTTAAAAGACGATCAAAATCATAAATTATTATTCAGCATATTTTCATGGTTAGGATATGCAAATTCAGCTTTGGACGTTGTTGTTTACCTTTCGACATCGAGAGAATTAAGAGCTATATTTTTTAAATTATTTTTTAAATCATGTCTTTGAGTCTGCATACAATTAATCATGATTATGTATATTATTATCAAAATGTAACACTTACAGTGTGAAAACTGAAGGTGTGGGTGCGGATTTGAGTGTGCGTGTGAGTGCAGTTTAAGATAAGCCATACACCCACACCTACACCTATGGCCACACCCAAAACCATCCATATCCTCTGCATGTGCCCTAATCATTGCGCTTAGCGCTTTGTTAACGTTTGATCTCCCACATATGCTTCGAACGTCTAGTGGTACAACGATTATCATATGTGTTAGTCTCATTAGCATTTGTTGGAGCGCAACAAATCGGTATATAAAGCTTGATGAAGTTGAGATGCGTGAAACATCAACGACTCTTTCTATTATGTATATTGTCATTTTTCTTCTCGCTAAACTATTTCTGCTTATTGTACATCTCTATATCTACTGTGTACCTCCTATCTGACGGCAACTTGTCTAGCTTCGTTCACAATTTTTGTAGGATTTCATCTTCGACGCTTTTACAATTCCGTCTCGGCATATGGTCGAGTGACAAATAACGAAAATGTTGTATATTTTTGATTGTGAATAAAAGTTAAAGATAGAGTAAAGAGTCTCGTAGAAATTAAGTTTTATTGTGCTTACAACTTGCGAGAAAATGAGAAAAAAGTTTTTTTTTAATTTTATTTTACAATAAAAATTATTTTGATGTGCTGCTATTTTTTAAAGTAACTAGTGATTTCTCACAATTTCATCAATGAAATATCAGAGTTCGTTGCTAGCTACTGCTATTTCTATTCAGGCATGCTTTTAGCTGTGCGAAAAACGATTGACTTATCCAATGACAGGATTATGCCTGGTTGTGATTGTTTTCTGATTGTCAGGATGTGGGTGTGGATGTGGGAGTTCGGAAGATAATAAATAGATTTCTGATGTATGAAAAAGTTCACTTGAAAAGTGACAGAGTTACGGATATCATATAGTCTCGAACTCCGGTTCCCGTTCTAGTAAAGTTTTATTTGCTGGTCCTGCACATGTCTATTGTTAGTCGTTGATGAGTTCCCAGTGTCTGTCATAGTCTATAGAATAGGAAGCAGAGTGGATCTAAATTCTACTCTTAATATTTCAACACTCATTTTATATCGTGTTTCACCAAAAGGATTAAACCACTGAGTAAATTTACGTGTATTATCATAATCTAGAAAAATCAATAACACTCATATATCTCTCTTTCTAGGATATTATACTTTAATTATGTCTCAATAGATGAACAAAAATATTTCATGAGCGTTCTATGAAATGATTCATAGGTTTTGTTTCATACGATCTCAGTTACAAAATTAAAAAAAAATCGCAAGAACTTTTTCAAATCATTTACTTACTGTGATAGGTAAAAATAATCACATGTATTTCTTTATCCGTAGGAATATCTAGAAAATTATTCTATTCGACGAAAACATTCATAATCAAATATGCAAGGATGTGGCAAAAAAGAAACAACAGAGACTTCAGTGTTGAAGTCTCATGAAGTTTTCTGACATGTTATGAAGTTGTATGAAGTCGCGTGAAGTCTTTGAACTATAGCTTTTAATATAACATCCGGTGCAAAAGCAATGAGACAAATATCGACTCCTATGTCTCTTCAATAGAATGGTGTTGAAAAACTTTTTTTTACCAGAAGATAGAATTCTTTCTTCTTTCGAATCGTATATAACGTGTTTTTATCATATGTCCATCAATGGAACGGTATAAAAACTAAGAAAAGTATCCTTACAATGAGTCCGCATTTTTTCTATAAATTACAGAACAACATATAAATTCTTATAACACTTCGATAAATATGTTCTGACAAGAATATTTTTCTATCAGTCGATAAGACATTTTCTCCTTTCTCGAGCCATATAATAGGGATGAGAAGTTATTGTTATCTTGTTGTTATTAATAACAATAACAATAACAAAAAAGTTATTGTTATTAATAACAATAACTTTATTCAGAAAGTTATTTGTTATAAATAACAGGTAAATAACAAATAACTTTTTTTTTTGAAAACTCAGTGCGAAGTTTCTGTTGATTGTATCACATGAATCAGCACTATAAACGTTAGGGAATCGTGCCAAAGCATAAGCCCATCTAATGGGTACAATTAATATATACAGGGAAGTGGGACAGAATCTTTTTCAGAAAAAAAAGTTATTGTTACTGATGACAATAACAATAAATTCTCACCCCTACCATATATGACTTCTAATTGTCATAGATTCGTAAATTAAACGAGGCAAGCAAAAAGAAAAAGAAAAACATCCGCACAATAAATTTGTAATTTTATTTGAAATTATCAAAAGCACAGTATAAAACGGTAGTTGATTTAGATTAACTGTTGATTTACACTGTGATATTGACGAATTCATATAAAAATCGCAAGTTTATCGCGTGAGTGTTATTTTTTTGCTTCATTTAATTTACAGATACGTGACAAATATAAATCATCCTGTTCGAAAGAGGAGAAAATTTTTTATCGACTGCTGGAAAAATATTCTTTTTAGAAGATTTTTACCAAAAAGATATAAACATCAACATTTCGTTGCTTTTTCTTGAATCTGAAGACAAGTGTGAATTTGTTTTAGGATATTTGTCTTTCCTATAATATAATTTTGTTCATGGACAGGTGGCAAACATAAGTTATATATAATTCGAAAGAGAACAAAAATTCTCGATATTTTTAATGGAAAAGTTTTCTTTCAGTGCTTTTCTGTTGAAGAGACGTAGGAGTTGACAATTGTTCCATTACTTTTGCATCAGATCTTATGTTGAAGTCTCATGAACTCTTTGAAGTATTTCGAAGTCTTCTGAACTCTTGAAATCTGTTGTTCTTTCCTTGGATTTTTCAATTAACTCAATATCTTCTTGTTTTTTTCTGTTATATTCTTTATTAATTATTAGCTTTCATATACGTCACAGACATTTCCTACTTGATGTCTTATATGCCAACATTAGAGATGTGGATGTGAGTATGGGTGTATTTCTAGCTCTTTTTTCATGAATGCCCGCACCTACATTCACCCTCATTCGTGTATTTCTCTCTTGATGGGCAGAAGTTGAGAAGTTTTAAGAGAACTACGATTAAAATACTTTTCCACTATAAGGAGAAGTTCTAGTCGGAATGGATATTTTTCAGCAGAAATATGAAATATGGAAGAAGATATCATTCATCCTTCTGCTTGAGTGAAAATATACGTGCAAGAATAGTTAATGATAGATATATGATTATATTCTTTTTTTTTTCAGTTGTCCTTGATAACGTATGATTTTGTGTTGAGTCTACTATATCTACTTAAAGGAAAGAATATTCCGATTCATTGATTCAACAATCTACTGCTACTTTATTGAGTTGCAATTGATCTTTTTAAGACTGAGAATATTAATTTAATAGACCAACAAAAAAGAAACTTGATTAAAAAGATGTAAATCGTTCGAACCATCGATTTCGATGAAATATTGACGATATGGACAGTGATATATGTAAATGTGACTATTGCTGCTCGGAATTTTTTTTATTTGATTCTACGTTGCATTTTATTCGCCACTATAATGAAAGACTCGAAGAAAAATATACATATTTGAACTTGTCTGACATTGGTTTCCTCATTATTGATTCAATTTCAATGATTATAATTCGAATCATATAAGAAAAAAAGCAATCACTATACTCAGAACTGTTCTAAAATAAAGTAAAACCAATCAGGAGTAGCATGGTTAGTTTTGGCCTTTCTTCATTCCATTTAAGTCAGCAACTAATTCATTTTTATTCTTTTATTTATGCGATAAAAGTGCAAACAATACAGCAAGTGAATAATTTTTCAAATTCTATAGTCTGAGAACGGTATAGAGGGTGGTCCGTAAGTCTTAAGATACGATAAAATTCGTTTATATGAACACACAGAACAATGTCTAACCTTTATGTTTCTATATCAGTTTCGACTATTTGTAACGGCTTTTCAAATGATATATTATTGAATAACATCTTTCCTTATAATAATAAAAATATAAACATAATAATGTAATGATGAATTTTTCGAAATCAATCAACACGAGGCAGGATGTATTTCGCACACATCTCGACGTAGGTAAATGATAAAATCTTAAGGATTTTTAAAAGATGCCCAGTGAAAAGTTCTACAAAAAATGTCTGAACAAATATTTACTGACTTGTTCTGATGGCCTATTTCATATTCAAGATCAATAACCTAAATGGTAGTGCTACTTCCCATCGTATTGAGAATAAAAACAAATATTTCGTAGGTTTTTTTATTGTGCAACTGAAGTCTATTTGCACAGATTTTGTAGTGTTTTCCAAGACGTATCTTTAAAAAAAACTCAAGATTTTACTCAGTGGCGTAGCCAGGAACTTTTGAGTCATGGTCCATATCTGGTAAATTTTTTTGAGGAATGGGCAATTAAAAATCTGTTGAGCTTAAATTTTTTTTTAAAGTCTATTTCCATCAAGAAAGGCGATGCTTATTAAAGATGAATTGTCACATTCAGGGCAATGTCGAACATGGGAGTATGGAATTTCGGCCTGGTCCAAAATTCCGGAAGCTTTTCGACTCGAGCCCAAATATTAGCGAAAATCCAGTCCAGGACGAAATTCATCTCACTGATCTTCATAAAAAATAGTCTAACAAGCGAACTAGTATCGTGTAACTTCAATGAATAGTTAGCACATTTCATAGTATGAAGCAATACGACGTAGTACAGAGTTGGAACTGGACCGGCCAACTTGCCAATTATGGATCCAATCCAGTTAGACTTTTCAAACCGACCGGTTTTCATCGGTTTTTTATCGATTTTTATGGCATTAAAGCTCGTCTGTTTTGGTCGTTTTTTATCGATTTTGACTGCTTTAACAATTCTGAAACATTAATATCAAAGTTTCTAACAGACAAATTTCTAGTCACCATCGAAATTCCAGCTCTAAATATTGAGCAAGCGCTATCTCATCGTACACTGAGAACCTTCGATCATGCT